TCGTGTCCTTGGGAGCTGGGAGAAGGAGGCCCGCCTACATCGGCCTGAAGGCTGGCTGCTCCTTTCGGCTTCACGGGATTCGTTTCCACGGTGCGCAAAAGTGCCTCGGCCGCGGGCAGCCGCAGTGCTTCCCAATTACTATTTGCCAGCGTATAAGACGACCCGGCGTATAAGACGACCCCCCCACTTGGTGGCATGTTTTACAGGGCAAAAAAGTCATCTTATACACCGGCAAATACGGTATATTGTTTTGTTTTATACACACACACACACACACACACACGGGTTCAGAGGTATTCCTCGAGAAAAGTACTCTACTCCTCTACTCACAATAGAATTCCCTATACCTCCAGGCTTGAAATTTTGGGCTTGGACAATCTAGAATGGTGCCACCTGAAGTCCAATCTAAGCATAGTACACAAAATTATACTATATAATTGCCGAACTTATAAGCATAATCTTTGAAAAATCTTTCAGGACCAGCTCCTTGCCAAATCTATGGTCACTAGCCACAGTCATTCCCATCTTCAAAAGGGGAGACACCAGCCTAGTTGAAAATTACAGACCAATCTCTTTATGCTGCATCGCCTGTAAAATCATGCAGTCAATTATTAACCAATCCATTATCCTCCACATAGAGACAAACAACCTACTCTCTAACAAACAGTTTGGTTTCAGAAGGAAACTGTCCTGTAATCTGCAACTCTTGCACTGTAAAAACATATGGACTACACAACTTGATCAGACGCAATTTACATAGACTTCTGTAAAGCCTTTGATTCAGTGGTACACGACAAACTACTCCTAAAACTCAGGTCTTATGGTATCTCTGGATACCTGCATGACTGGATAGAAGCATTCCTGTCAAATAGGCAACAAATGGTCAAAATTGGGAGCGTCCTATCAAATTCTGTACCTGTCAACAGTGGTGTTCCCCAAGGCAGTATTCTAGGATCAACTCTCTTCATACTCTATATTAATGACCTCTGTGATGATATTAAGAGCAACTGCATTCTTTTTGCTGATGATGTAAAGCTATTCAACACCACTGACAATGCTGCTACCCTTCAAAAAGACCTCGACTATGTATCAGAATGGTCAAACAAATGGCAACTTCAAATCTCAACAAATAAATGCTCTATCTTACATATTGGCAAAAAAAATCAGGAAATAAAATAGTCAAGACCTTGTTGATGACAAAAACTTTGTCAAGGACCTTGTAGTACTCATCTCTAATGATCTAAGTGCTAGAGCCCACTGTAACTACATAGCCAAAAGGGCATTAAGAGTTGTTAACCTAATCCTACATAGCTTTTTCTCTGGTAATATCACAGTACTAACTAGAGCATAGAAAACATTTGCTACATACTCGAATACAGCTCATCAGTCTGTAACCCACATTACGTATCTGATATTAGCACCATTGAGAAAGTCCAGAAATATTTTATGAGAAGAGTCCTCCACTCCTCTACTCATAGCAGAATACTTTATACCACCAGACTTGAAATTTTAGACCTAGACAACCTAGAACTATGCCGCCTTCGGTTCGATCTAAGTATAGTACATAAAATTATATATTGCAATGTCTTACCTATCAATGAATACTTCAGCTTCAACCAAAACAACACAAGAGCACAAAATAGATACAAACTAAAGATAAACTGCACCAAATTTGATTGCAGGAAATACGACTTCAGCAACAGAGTAGTCAATGTCTGGAATACTCTACCTGATTCTGTGGTTTCTTCCCCAAACCCCAAAATATTCAACATTAGACTGTCTACTATTGACCTCACCCTTTCCTAAGAGGTCTGTAGGGGGCGTGCATAAGTGCACCAAAACGTGCCTACCATCCCTGTCCTATTGTTTCTTTTTTTTCTTATTCGTATCCATTTCATGTATTTATAACCATGTTTATACTTATACCTGTTATCTAATAATTGTTTGACAAAATAAATAAATAAAATAAAATAAATTGTCTGCTACAATGTTTTGCCTGTCAATGACTTCTGCAGCTTCAACCACAATAATATATTGGCAAACAATCAATACAAACTCAAGGTAAACCGCTTCAAACTCGATTGTAGAAAATATGACTTCAGCAACAGAGTGGTCAAAGCCTGGAATGCTCTATCCAACTCCGTTGTTACAGCCTCAAACCCTCACAGCTTCAATCTCAGTTTACCATGAACCTCACCCCATTCTTAAGAGGTCCTTAAAGGGGGCATGCATAAGCGCACCACCATGCCTACCATCTCTCTCTTACTGCCCCCATTTATTTGTATATACTTCCTTTGTTCATGTGTAATGTTGATACCTATACTTGTTACCTTGTACATATTTGACAAACAAATAAAATAAATAAGTAAATAAGCTTATTTACATTTGACAATTTATTATGTGTGAGATTAGAATTAAGAGCAGAATAATGTAGGAATAGTGGTTTCTTAGAATGTGGATTTTAAAGATTAGTCTTATTTAAATATAGAAAGAGGTTGTTCTATTAATATTATTTGTGGAATAAAAAAAATCAAAAGTTATTTTTGTTATAAATGTAATTTTTTGTCACTTTAACTTTGTTATTCCCTTTTCCTTTAATATAAAATTTGTATTTTAATATTTGATTCTGAAATTTAATAAAGTTACTATAAAAATATGAATGTTAGAATTAAAATATATGTCAGAACCAGTGTTAGTATTCTACCAGTTCGGCCCTGTTCAATTGAACTGGTAGTAAAAAGTGCTACTGGTTCTGCCTAACTGGTATTTCTGATGATCAGATGGGTGATGATCAGCTGTGCCATGCAATTTAGATCAGCTAGAAAGTAGGAAATCGTGGGATTTCTTGCTTTCTAACTAAATAACGTGGCACAGCTGATCCCCCACCTTGCTTCAAAATGCTTCTTTTTTTAGCACCCACGCAGCTTCCCTGAGGCCCACTAGGCCAAAAACGGGACGTAGGAGGGTGCTGTGCAGCCCCCATGTGCCCCGTTTTTGCTCCCAGGAGGCTTCCCTGAGACCCACTAGGCCAGGCTTGCCCAACCCGCGGCCCGTGGGCCGCATGCGGCCCAGGTCACCTCGTAATGCGGCCCAGTACCCACCCCAACCTTCTGGCAAGAGCCAGCGAGGAGGAGGAGGAGAGGCAGGCGCGAGGCGGGGCGAGGTGAGCGCCACGCCAAGCAGCAACAGAAAAGGCGGGCGCCGCCTTTGCTGCTTCTGCCCCCGCTGCCGCCGCTGCTGCTTCTGCCCCCGCCGCCGCCGCCACCGCCGCTGCTTCTGCCACCGCTGCCGCCACCGCCGTTTCTGCCCCCGCCGCCGCCCCCCCACCCCGCTGCCACCGCCCTCCCCACCCCGCAAAATTTGGCCGGAAAATTAATAAAAAATAAATAATTTTAAATAAATAATTAATAATAAATAATCAAAATAATTTATAATTTATTATATAATTTTATAATATAATTATTTTATAATAATTTATTATATGTGCGGCCCAAACCAAAATTTCATCTTCTAATGTGGCCCAGGGAAGGTGAAAGGTTGGACACCCCTGCACTAGGCCAAAAACAGGGCACAGGGGGGTGCTGCGAAAGAAAAAAAGAAAGAAAGAAAGAGGGAAGGATGGGAGAAAGAAAGGGTGGGAAGGGAGAAAAAAGAGAAAGAAAAAGAAAAAAGAAAGAAAGGAAGGAGGGAGGGAGGGAAAAAGGAGAAGAAGGAAGGACCACAAACCTTGGCAATCCAGGCCTGGAAGGTACCTGGAGGTCATCTCGTCCAACCCCCTGCTCCAGAAAGTCAGTTTCTATCTTTTGGCCCCCCAGTCACATGACCACATAGCCATGCCCACCCAGTCACATGACCACATAGCCACGCCCACCAAGCCACACCCACAGAACCTGTAATAAAAGAAATTGAATCCCACCACTGGTCATAGAACATAATATTTGGAATCATACAAATTGCTATATTAGTTTTTTTTAAGTGTGAATCCATAGCTGGCAATAGTTTTATGGGGGTTTTTTTGCTGGAGAATGGTGTTAATGCAAAAAATATATAGGTTTTGCTTTAAAAATTGTGCAACATTCTAAATTAATGAAATCTGGGGAAATAATTAATCTATTATATGACAGGAATGGATGGATAGGAATGAGATGAGAAAGTAAAGAAAAAGCTATTGGATCATTTGGGAACTCAAAAATGAATGTCGATTGCTGAATATTTATCTAGAGAAAGATTTGTTTCAGGTACATACATGCCTTCTTTTCATACATGTACATGAAAAAGGAATCAACATAAATATAAAAGCATGACTGAAATGAGATTTTATAATACAAAGTTGAGAAAATTAGTGAAGAATCAATGATTACTTTAGGTACTGAATTGGGACAAGCCATTTTTTGACATGTCAGGGTGGATATTGGGAGAAAAATGGACATTATAGAAATAAAAAGAAATAAGATAAGAGTGAAAGCAGATGATAGCAGGAAGAACAAGCCTTAAGAAACGGGGATAGCTTAATCTGGAAAAGAATGAAGAAAGCAGATGTAGAAGCTATTTGAAAGAGTATGGGGTTCTTTCGTCTCTATATATTTTGTCTCTATATATTGTTTATCCTGAAAGGGAATAATGTGATGGTAAGTATGCATATAATATGTGTATATAACTAATCAATTTTAAAGGCAAACAAACTTTTTGTTCCATACTGAAGCCTTCTCACAATGCTGCACCACTCACCTCTGTGAAGAAACCTGCTATTCCAGCCTGACATGAGCCATGCTCTTCACCATATTTTTTCTTATATTCTAAGGTAGAAAAAAGAAATGAGATTAGAAGAAATAAATGCAATCCTGTCAATCTCCACTAGAAATGTATAATTCCCAACTCAATGGTCTCTTTCCCTTCTCTTTATTCTATAAGTGCTGTTATAAACTGAGACAGTGAGATGCACCACAGAGCCAATTCTGGGACATTAGTAAACCTCAAGCTTCTTTGGCTGTTGTTAAACCAAATAACTCAATTCACAGAGGAAAACATTTATTTTTATTTTTCATGACAGGAGGAAGTAAAAAAGCTCTAAAAATGCAGAAGTACAACTGGTAGGGAGCTTGATGATTTGTTTACTGAAAATTACAAGGCCAATTGGAGGCTGGCAAGAATATTCCTCAATCAGTTCTTAATGAAAATTAAAGCTAAAATATCCACAACTTTATTGTCTAAAATTAAAACTCTGCTCTTCCTGCTTCCCTCAGTTCCTACTTGTTTTTTCTACTATAATGTTTTAGAACCGGGGTATCAAACACAAAGCCAAATCCGGCCCACAATGTGGTCAGATCCAGCCCCCAGGGCTGTCCTGGAAAATGTAAGGGGCTGGCCCGCGTGGCTTCAGCCCGGTCTACCCAATGTGAACAGGAAACATGCCAGCAATTTGGGGAGTGGGGTCAAGCTGGCCATGCCCACTCAGTTGGCCATTCCTGCCCAGTTGCCCACATCCAGTGAATGGTGTCAAGCTGGCCATGTCCACACAGCCCGCAATGAAATTGAGTTTGACACCCCTGTTTTAGACTATATGCTTTTAGGCATAAAAATTCATTTGTGGACTTATCTTTGATCCTACAATGTCATGAATATTGACTGTGTTGAGAATGACCAAAATTATTGCTACCATTATTGCATCTTATAATATTAATACTTCTATTGATATTAAACAACAGTCCAGTGAACAAAGAAAAATACAAGGAAGTTGTGGGATTTATCAGGCCTGGGGAAAAAAGAAACTTCAACCAACTCTTCCAGAGCTCAAGTTATGTACAACAGTTTCACTAAGGAACATCACTCAGACGGGGTGGGATTCTACCAGTTTGCACCTATTCGCTAGAACCAGTTGTTAACATTCTAAGCAGTTCGGAGAATCAGTTGTTCGAAGAAATTACTGGCCTAATCCTGTAAGGAAACATTCTGGTGTTGCTTACAGAAACTGCCTCTCCGTTAATCCTTATTACATTCTTGGCAGGACTAGACTTACTGTCTCAGGAACATCTCTGGAGTTTTTTCCCCTTCCTTTGCTGGTACTTTGCTTGTGTGGAATGACCATTTAAAGTTACAATGGCACTGAAAAAGGTGACATGACCATTTTTCACACTTATGACTGTTGCAGCATCCCCACAGTCATGAGATGCTAGGGGAGGAGACGCATGCCTCGATGTGAGTGATATTGAGTTGGCCACACGCAGCCAATAACACAGGGGTGGGCAACTATGGCCCTTTTATGAATTATGGACTTCAACTCCCAGAATTCCTGAGCAAGCCATGCTAGCTCAGGAATTTTGGGAGTTGAAGTCCACAAGTCATAAAGGGGCCATAGTTGCCCACCTCTGCAATAACATGACCACCAAGCCATGTCCACCCAGTCACATGGCCACCAAGCCACACCCACCACCTAAGCCACGCCCACAGAACCAGTTAAAAATGTTGAATTCCACCCCTGCACTCAGAGTAACTATAATATGCCCATTACATGGAACTAGACTCAGATGCAAAAGGCTTATAAATGGATTTACCGATTGTCTAAAGCAATTCATGTTTGCTTACTTTGGCCTAGTGAGATATATACACTTATACTGGGTGGTTAACCATGATTAAAGAGTTGGTCGTAGCCTTTGAGGCTTATGTGCAAATCACAGCCAAGAAAGCTTGGCTGACATTTTTTTTTAACTAAGGCTACTTGCCATTTGTACCTTATAGCACTATTCAGCCATCACCGAGGTAACAACACCAAGCTAGTTCTCATATCTGTTCTTTCAGCACAATGGTTCCCAAAGCTATTTTCTACCAGTAATAGAGAACACAATAAACCAAGATAACCTAGGAATTGTATATCTTCAAAGATAGAAAGCTGTAAATAATCTTTTCAGTTATTTGTCCTACTTTCATGGTATTATAATCACAATCTTTATTTGAATAAAATGAAAATATGTCAAACAACATGAAACTAATTTTAATATGTATCTTAGATGCATCCTAACAATCTCATGCTTTATTGCTCACAGTCTCAACCAGAGGTTTAAATTGGTCTGAGCAGCTTCTGGAATTAATTTTCAAATCCTCCAAATAATGTGCTGGGGGGGGGGGGGGAAATCCCACTTCCTGCTTCTTGAAATATGCTCCCAAGGATATGTATGACTTCAGAGAAATGTCAGTGCTTTGGTTTCTGAAAACAGCCACCATATAGCCTAGTAACTCTCTGAAACTAACCACCAACCCACTGCTAAATTTCAAGGAATGAACAGAAAATTACTTGGCAAATTGTCCTAAGGGAAACTCAATGTATTCCTTTAGGTTGGACAGACCATAAGAATAATAAATCTCAATTCAGAAACTCACGGTTCAAAAGGAAAAAAAACAGTGAATGGACTGTCAGTACTTCTTTAAATTGGATAAAATATATTAGAAAAAGAAAGACATATTTATTCTCCTAAAATCTACAAACCTAAACAGTTTAACATGTATAAGCCAACTTTTCATAAACCAAGATATCCCCGAAATTATGTCTCTGAAGGCAGAAAGCTGCAAATAATCTTTTCAACTGTTTCTCTCGCTCTCACAACATTTGGATAAATCCTTTTAAGATGCAGTTAACAGATGGTTAACTATGTTACTCTATGGTTACATTTGTCATAAACATTAAATAATGTGATCATGAAATCTAAATGTTGAAAGTTTCTGTCTCCTATCACCATATGTAAAGCATACAGATTTTAATACAGTTAAGCCAGACATATTAAATACCTTACAAAGCTTATTTAGGCATTCAAATGAGAATGCCAGCATGTTGTAATGGGCAAGGTATTGAACCAGACAACCAAGTTTTTAACTCAGTCATTGCTTACTTCCTCTCAGTCCAACCTATCATGAAAGGCTGTTTGAAGGAGAAGAAGAAAAAGGGAACATTAAATATGCCACTGATATACATGCAATCAAGACATAAATAAATGATATCTGCAATTATGGAGAGTGGGAACAAATACCCATACACCTTCCTATCCTCTTAAGTAGCTACTAAAAAACCTGTAAAATTAAGATTCTAAATGATTTTGCAACTATTTTCTTCCAATAGAAGGACAGCAATGAACATGGGAGTAGTTCTAGCTCACCTGATTATTCTCATCATTTTATGCATCATTTAAATGAACTCTGATGCTATTTAGATAGTTCAAAGATTTTAAAAAGCACTGTAGCTAGCCTTGTACATTGCATTCAGCCAAAATTTGCTTGGTTTGTTGAATGAACCACAACTAATAGCTCATATAATATACAAAGCCATTAGTTGTAATTTACAAATTACAATGTCTATATTTATGCATCTCCATCAGATAATGCAGCTGAATTTAAAAGATAGGAATGTTTCCTACGGAAAGCCCATTCTTCTTTGCCATGTTTGGATGCAAATCAAATCAAATATCTTATATTTGGATTCTATATGATACAGATTTATGCATACACCTCTATGCTAATTGATAGAGGTATATGCATAAAATTAGATCATTCTAGTTTAATCCTGTCTAGGCTTAACGTTATCTAATGTGACATGGTTAACTCTGATGGAGAAAAGAAAAAAATTCCCTGAGAAATGTCTATAGTAGGCTCCCCATTTCAGAAATATTATCAGAAGTTAGAACCATTAGAAATGCTGTAGTGTTGAATGAATGCAGTGTTGAATGAATAGTCAACAAATACTGAATATAAGAACTCATGGTTCTTTGCAGTTTTATTCCACTCTCAATGTCTGCATTTCTTTAACTGCAGTCTCTAGATCAAGGAACTGACAGCTACTTTCTCAAAGTATTCAAGATGGCGATGATGACAGCTGCCTTGGCTGCTCTCTAATGGTTTCTATTCTATTCTATTCTATTCTAGATGAAAAGGGATTGTCATAGGAAGGCAGAATCTATTTAATTTAAAATACAACTCCTTCTGAGAAATTTATTACATCCATCTCTGTAGAAGATACAGCTAATTACACAATTGAAAGCTGAATGTTATTGTATTCTCCCAAAGCAAATTTGATCATTCTACATGATGGGACAGTTTGGCAATTGAGACACATGCCTAGTCCCTAATTTTCTATCCAGATTCCAGCACAATAAATTGCATGCTAGCCAAGCCAAATATGTCAATTTTCCACCCACTGCTTGAAAGATCTTGAATCAACACAGTACTATTTTTATAGATATTTCTGGCTAATACCTTTTCAAATTAAAAGTGAGTTACTGGGTTATTCTTCTCAAACAATAACAACAACATCCCACTGCATAGCAATCATGGGCACATCCATACATATTTGTGCTCGCCTCTATCTCTGAAATTGCATTTGTAATACCAGTTTATATTGTATAACCCTTAAAATGCATCCAGCAAAAAAGAAAGAAAGAAAATACGAATCAAGAGAATCTTCCAAGTGGGAGGATTTTATAGCTTCTTTAATTTTATTAAAGATGACTTGAATTCATGGCTTCAAACATGGAACTAAAAGCAGACAATTATATTTCAAACAGTTATCTGTGAACAGTTTGCTAATGATCAAAAATATAAAAGGTTACAAATTCCAGGCAAAGGGTTTCTGCCCCCCCCCTTCTAGTTTAACTAACTGGCATGCATAAAGAAAGAAAGGTTAATTTATGATTGATGTAATGTGTGACATCAATTACCAATTGCAAAATCCAATATAACTCAGTTCTTGCCAAAAAAAAAATCTGAAGCCTTTCATTTCATCACTGTCTCAGATCACATTCTGGATTTGGACAAG